AAGTTCAAATTTTGCACTTTCCCTGCCTCCCACATGGGTTTTTTTCAGTTCTTAACTCAAATCTAAGTATGTAAGTCAAGTCAATATTTTCCTATGAGAGTGGTTCTTAAGTCAAAATGTTCTTAACTCAAGCCGTTCTTAAGTCAAGACCCCACTGTACTGTATATGCTTAGAAGCCAGTGTGAGGAAGATCAAAGTCCTCTCAGACACAGTGGGACTTACTTATCTATGAAAAAAACTCAGGAATGTGTTTCTTAGGGTGTCCCTTCTAAAAACCACACATCTAGATCTTTCCCAGCCTATTTCAGGACTGGACTTGGAAATGTTTTGGTCATCTAGGTCACTGGTACTTAACCTTTGTTACTCAGATGTTTTTGGACTGCAACTCCCAGAAGCCTTCACCATCAGCTCTGCTGGCTGGGGTTTCTGGGAGTTGCAGTTCAAAAACACCTGAGTAACAAAGGTTAAGAACCACTGCCCTGGAAGACAGAAACAAAATTCTTTTTCTCCCACCAGCATAATCATTTTCCCCACCACCACCATTTCCCCACCACCATAATGCAGTAATTCTCTTCTTCCTGTATCATTCTTCTTCTTCTTCCTTTATTGTCCTCTTCTCCAGAACTGCACTGATTCTTGATTTGGAACTTTCCCTTTTCCTCTTATTAGCACATATTCAAGAAATCTGCCCCATATATCATAGCCTGAAGTTTCTGAACCAATGGCAGGACATAGTTATAACTTGGACCTTCATGTTGTCAGTGATTCCCAGGGTGATGTAGTGGATCAAGTGATGGACTAGGACTCTGGAGAACAGGGTGCAAATCCCCACTTCAGTGTTTGGTAATATTTAATGTTTTTCCATGTTATGCATATGTAAGCGAACTGCCCACTGACCAAAAAAAAAAAGCTGTTTTTATGATCTTTCCCTCATGTGACAATCTCAGAGGTTTGTAGCTGACCTCCATCGTGAATGTCAAAAATGCTGTATGAGAATCACTTGGATTTGCACTATCGAATGTTCTGGATGTTTCTCTTTGTTAATGTATTATAGGTGTTATTTGCACAACCAAAGCTAGAACGGAGAATATTCCCACTTTTATTTGTAAGCAAGCCTTTGATGGCATTTTGGTAGTCTTCTTTTAAGGCCAATAAAACTTTTGTTACCTTTCACTTAGTTATCTGTGTCAAGATCTAACTTCTGGGGAGCCTCTTCAGGTGGAATGCGATATGACACAACTGCCAGCAAATCTTATCGAAACTTCCAGTGGAATAAAAGGAGCTGCTGCCATCCGGTGGTGATTCCTATATATAAAACAGTTCTTAGAATTACTGTACAGTGGACCCTCTACTTATGGAATTAATCAGTACTGGAATGGTGGCTGCAGATCAAAAAGTCTGTAGGTCGAGTCTCCATTGACCTACAATGCATTGAAAACCAATTAATCCGTAACCGGCCGTTTTTGTTCCGTTTTTGTTCCAGTTTGGTTTTTTTCTCGTCTGTAAATCGATTCTCCGGCTGCAAGTTGAACCTAAATTTTGCAGCCAGAGCAGTCTGTAACTCGAAAAGTCTGAAAGTTGAGCCGTCTGTAAGTCGAGGGTCCACTGTATAGAATAATGAAGTTGGAAGGGGCCCATAGAGCCATCGAGTCCATGATTTCATTGTTGTCCTGCTCTAACAGGACATTTTTACCAATGTTCAACCAAAATCTGTCTTCCTGTGACTTGAGCCCATTGTTACATGTCCTGCACTTGGGGATGATCAAGGACAGATCCTGCCCCTCTTCTGCATGACAGCCTTGCAGTTACAGTATTTGAAATGTCCTTCGCTGCCCATCATGCGGTCACTCCTCTAAAGGGCAGTTCAGGAAAAGTCCATGTCTTGGGGTTGTGCTGAACAGACTTTAGGTTCCTACTGCTCACAAGGCCTTGTGAGCAAGCAGGCATTGAACAGCTTGTGCGTCTTCCCCCCTCCCTGTCTACTCTGGATTTTCTGTGGTAAAAGGAAAGAAGAAACGGGGAAAGCACAAACAGGTTCCGAATGGAAGACAAACTGAAGCCGTCCTGAGCCTTGTCCAAAAGCACCCACACCACAAGAGTGAGAAAATAAATTGGTGAATGCTTATTTATGGGGTTTATTAATTTATTTACAGTCCTTAGACCAGTCACATAAGTATAAAACCTTATAATTTCTAACTTTCAGTATTCCATTAGAACACGTTGGCATACATACGGCTGGGAGCTACTATCTAATTGGTATTTCACTTCCGCAATCGAAGTATTGCTACACAGAATTTCGCAGCTTGACAGGTGATCTCCGTATCAACATCCGAGAGAAGGAACTCGAGTAATTTTATACTTCCCTTCTAGTACAGCAGAGGGGAGGGCCAAACACCTCGCCAAAGTAAAGGCTCTTCTAGTTCCTTGATAGGATTTATATCCCACCCATTTATAAACAAAGCACTACGCTGGGAAATTTACAGAAGAACATAGGAGACAACGCTGAGCACAAAATAATGCACACGACAAAAATAACAGAATAGCATACTGTATAACAAACCCTCCTGCCCCCAAATTTGGAAACATTAGTGTGTGCTCTATCGTACATTAACAGCAATTGCAGCCAAGCATGTGCGGGTGAGAAAAAGCTCAGTGGTTTAGGAATCTGGCTGCAGACCCAGAGGCTGAGAGTTCGATTCCCCACTGCGCCTCTTTGACAAGGGCCGGACTCCGTGATCTGAATGGTTCCTTCCAGCTGTGCAGTTCTAAGATGAAGATGATTAGAAAAGCAGAGTGTCTGGAGATTTGGGAAGCGGCAGAAATAGATATACTATCGGAAGTGTTGAAAGACTGTCCAGTACAAAAGGCAACTGAACGATGGGATTTGTTATATAAGTGGATTGAGTAAAAGAATTAAACTAAGAAATAACTGCAAGTAGGAATCTGGAAGGGCAATCAAATTGTAGAAAGTGGACTTGAGATTGTAACGCGCACAACAGGATCTGATGACAGTATATTTTATGTTCTCCTTCTTCTCCCCCCCCCATTCGCCTGACCTTCTGTACTCCTTACCCTAGCCCCATCTTTAAAAAGAAAACATAAAAAAGAAAAGAAAAGCAGAGCATCACAGTATATTGGATTACGAAGCTGCTGTTTTTCCAAATAGTCTTGTCACCCAAAAACTTGCCTAATTCAGTGTCTTATTAAAGATAAAATCTCTCTCTCTCTCTCTCTCTCTCTCTCTCTCTGTGTGTGTGTGTGTGTGTGTGTGTGTGAGAGAGAGAGAGAGAGAGAGAGAGAGAGAGAGATAAAAGCACCGAGTTACTCTTGCCTAGAGAGGAGAGAGTAGAAACACGTGGCGGGGGAGGGATTGTGAAAAGAGGGGGCGGGAGAGAAAAGAGAGGCAGAAACCCCCGTCAAGTCACTTTCCTGCCCCTCCGTCAGGTCACTTTCCTGCCCCTCCCTCGCTTCTTCCTGGTGTAAAAGGAGGGGGTTTCCCTCAGAGGGGGGCGTGATTGTTTATCCCCCCCTCCTTCCCTTCCCTTCCCGTTGAAGGCTGTATTATTGCAGAATTGCAAAGCCCTGGGAAAGGCGGGCAGAAGCAGCGGGTGAGTTTTATAAGGGGGGGGGAGACCAACGCTGGGATGCCGGATTCCAGAAGGAAGGGAGAGATGCAAAGAGAGAGAGAGAGGCAGGGAGACATCTCCCTGCGCGCGAGGAGACCCTTCTGCAGATCATGAATAAAGTCAAGGTGGGCCAACCTGGGGAAAAGCAGTTGCATGTTGTTGATAAGCGGACGGTCCTCCTCCTGCCCTTGGGCGATCAGAGTGGGAAGGAGCACGGCCGGGTCTGCACATAATAAAAAGCAACAATACGATGGAATATTCATTCATTCATTCATTTATTCTATTTTTACCCCGCCTATCTGGTCAATCCGAGCACTCTAGGCGGCTTCCAGACAGGTAAAATACATATAACATATACATATAGCAAAATAAAAATATCCAGAAATAGACAATAAGCAAAAAACAGTAAGCAAATTCCGTCTTGTCCGGGTTCAGCCTCAGCCTATTTTCCTGCATTCATATATTAATAAAATATGCATATATTAAAAAGCGGAAATATGACGGTATATGCATATATTAACATAATACTATATATTAAAAAGCGGAAATACGGTTGGGTGAGCACCTATTAATAGAATACGCATATATTAAAAAGCGGAAACCACAGAACATGCATATATGACTGGAATGTGCATATATTAAGAAGCAGAAATGCAGTTGGATGCGCACATCTTGAAAAGCGGAGGGTGAAAGGCGAGGAGAACTTCGCAAGCCCCGGCTGGGGACTCCGAAAGAGACCGGCTTTGATTGCTAGAGTTTGGAAAGGCTTCCCTCTTGGAGAGATGCAGGAAGGCGCTGGTAAGTAAAATAGTTTCATCCGTCATTGAAAAATGATAGTACATATATGCAAGTGCATGTTGTTATAAAGACTTAGAAGAGCGATTAAGGGCATTTAAAAAAAAAACCTTATATATGCATTCTGGAGTCATATCCTTTCCCCACTATGGACCGTAAAAGAGAGACTGCATCTTTTTTGGAAATGCAGACCTGGAAGAGCCCCCTCTGGATCCTGGAGTCCAGCCTTTGTCAAGGAGGCACTGTGGGAAACTATCGAGCTATCCCGCAGCTTTGCCTTTTCACCGTTATTCTTCCGAGCTTCAGATTTGTTGGCAAAGATGTTTTTTAAAGATAAGATGAGGAAATTAGAGGGGGAAAAAGCTTTCTTACAGCTTTTTAAAGGCAGCTCCTTTTGTGAGAGCGCCACTTAAGGGACTGTAATTAGAACTGCATGTTTTTTGGGGGGGGGGAACCGAGAATTTGAGAGCCTCCCTCCTCCCCCCAAATTTCACTTTCTCTAGGGAGGTTCAGGTATATCTATATGACATTTTTGTTCTTTCTTGCAGGACGACACGGTTCCCTCAGCACTCCTCCATATCTGACTTTTCAGTTAGAATTTTCCTCAGTTCCCGGTAAGTTCGGGAAAGTCAAACTATCCTTGAGTATATTGTTTTTTGTCATGTTTATCGGGAATCGGAGAAAATGGCATATTATTGGATATGATGGTGCAACGAATGACAAGCTCATCTTTGCTGCTCCGGTGGTTAATTACTGTGATGAGCATGGAAACATCCCCTTATTAGATGCCAACCTCAGCTTGGTGAGGGGGACTGAGTGGGTCAGAGAGGCTGCGAGCCATGCCATCAGGATACTAGGTTGTGTTGTGAATCTGGGTTCTTGGGTGGGTCGCCCAAGGCAGAAGCTGGTGACAGCTGAGGCACCAGGATAAGATGCCTCCACCCTCTTGAGCAAGTGACAGCTTCACGAGTAGTGATGGGGGTGGAAACATCCTTCTGGGGCAGCTCATGGACCGTAGCAGTGGTGGGAGGTGACACAGATGGAGGATCTTTCTTTACACGACAGTAGTGGCAGTCAAGTTGACGCCTATGAGCAGGGCTTGAAAAATATTGGAATGTCTCACCAGTCAGTCAAAAATTCCACCAGTCAGCATGACCGGACTCTAGCCTTGCAATTTATGTTAACAAATGTAAACTAGGCACTTGTTCAGTTTAATTTCTACGTAACAATGCATACAAACTGAAAAGACCTGCGTTGCTTTATTTACCTGCATGCCTGTGGGGCCATGAAGCTTGCACATTGGTGCCTCAACTAACGACCGTCCCTACTTACGACCATTTCGAGTTACGACCAGCTCTGACCACCAAATTTTGCTTCTGCTTGCGACTGGAGCTTTGAGTTACGAACAGAAAAAGGCAGGGGGAAAAGGCGGAAATTCAAATTGCTAACCGTTGATGGGGGAGAGGCTGCTTCTTTGTAGCTCTTTTGCCCCAGCAGTTAGAGTGTGTGTGATAAGAGGAGGCTGCCTGGTAAGGTAAGGTGCTGTTTTCTGCTTTTAAAAAACTGTTCCGGGTGTTTTTGCAGCGTGGTTTTGGGCTGGGGAGGGTTATGTTTCTGTGCTGTGATAGATCTTGGGGGATTGGGATTTTTCCCCATTTCCGATGGGTCTTGGGGAGTGCTATTTGCTTTGTTTGCATTTGCAATGGGTCTTGCACAGTTGATTGATTTTTTGTTTCTTTTTTTGCATTAGGTCTTGCACGTTTGATTGCTTTCTGCTTTGTCTTCTTTCCATTGGCAATGGGTCTTGCACGGTTGATTGGTTTTTGGTTTCTTTTTTGCATTAGGTCTTGCACGTTTGATTGTTTTCTGCTTTGTCTTTTTTTCCATTGGCAATGGGTCTTGCATGGTTGATTGGTTTTTGGTTTCTTTTCCTTGCATTAGATCTTGCACACTTGATTGGTTTTTGCTTTGTCTCCATTTGCAATGGGACTTTCACGGTTGATTGGTTTGTCCGGGTTTTTTTCTTTGCATTAGGTCTTGCACGCGTGATTGCTTCCCCCCCTTTGGCTGGAAGGGATTAATCGCCTTTCCGACACGTTTTGCAGTAGTTTTTGGAGCATGATTTTTTTTCCTTTGTCTGGAACAGATTAATTGCATTTCAGTGCATTCCAGTGGGAAATGGTGCTTCGACTTACAACCATTTTGAGTTATAACCATTTTGAGTTTGTAACTTAAGTTACAAACTTAAGTTACGACTTAAGTTTGTAAGTTGAGGCACCACTGTATTTTGAATGCCTTTCTTTTAAATGTCTCCAGCAAAAATAAAACTGAAAGCAAAAGTGCCCAGCTTCTTAAGAAGCCACGGTTCCCTCCCACCACAGGATATGTCTTAGTTTGGTTGAAATTGGGAGCAGGGAATCTCCATATCCTCCAGCATGGGACTACTCTACATTTTCTTGCAGAACTATATCTCTATGTGCCGCTCAAACTCTCTTCTATAATCCTGCAGTCCTCCCCTCCCCCCTCCCATTGCAAAAGGAAAACTGCCCTCTTCTTGTGTGTGTGGGGGTGTATAAAATCCTCTCTCTCTCTCTCTCTCTCTCTCTCCCTCTGTGTGTGTGTGTGTGTGTGTGTGTGTGTATATGTGTATATATGGATAGATAGATAGATAGAGATAGATAGAGAGAGAGAGAGAGAGAGAGAGGAAGGAGGCACGCAGGGAGGGAGCTGTGACTCATCGAACAGCATTTTTCACTTGCCACGGACAAGTGCATTTTTCAAGCTCTGCCTATATTGTGCAGAAGTAGCCAATGATAAACCATTTCTGAATATTTTTAAAGACAAATATCCTGTGATAAGAAAATCCAAAAATGAAACATCAGATAGTGTTGGAGGATTAGACCCCCAGGTCAGAAGGCACTATCAGCTACTGGGCAAGAGCAAAGTTCTAGCAGAAACTGTTCATGCAGCAGTTACATAAAAGCATTCCAGATTAAACAAGGTTAATTTCGAAAGGCTATCAAGTGGCTGATATCCCACCTTTGTCTGGACACCCTTTGATCTCCAATACGGTTTATTTAAAAATTGTTCTTGGACAGTGTTTTAAGTCTGTTTTCAAAGGTTTTAAATCTGTTCTTAATGTCTTCGGATTCATTTCAGTGTTTTTAACCTGTTTTAATTTCATTATCAAATTGCCTTGTGAATGCCATTATCTGAATGAGTTAATACATCCTAAAGAATCAAAGGCTGGAATGTATTGAACAGCTGATATCAAAGCCTGTTTAAAAAACACCCCAGTCTGACTCTAATCTACCCAAGCAGTATCTTTAAGAAAAATGGCCAGGTGGTACCAAGGCCGCTTAGAGCAAAGTCATGCAAGGTCTGGATATGTCCCAGTGTCTCACCTTCTTTTCTGTGCTGTTCTTTTCCAGCTCAAGATAGAATCCAGGCTGCTGCTTATCTTACAGTGGAAGCTGGTGAGCATGTCTGGCTAAAGATGTTCCCAAAGTTGATAGAGCCCTACTAGGGGTGGTTCACAGGTTTCAAAGTTTGCAAACTCTTGCGAGGTTCCCGTAGGCAGTGTCCAGGGCCAGTTCTTTCGCTGCTCAAAGCCTGTGGCCCTTGTTTACTGCCTCCATTTATTTATTTATTTATTTATTTATTTATTTATTTATTTATTTATTTATTTATTTATTTATTTATTTATTTGATATGATTTATACCCCGCCCATCTGGTCTAAACGAC